AGCCTTGCAAAATGTTATTTATTGTCATCTTTATTTTATTTGTTGTTTTAGTTTATTATGTGAAACACTTTGGGCTGAATGTTTATATGAAAGGTGCTATATAAATAACGTTGAGTCGAGTTGAGTAGAAAGGTTGGACACCAAAAACGTAGATGTGGATTGCTTTTGCTTTCGGATCGTTCTTTCCATTTGAATATTAACTCTCATTTCCTCTTTTCTTCCTGCTTCCCGAAAAAAAGCTGTGTCTTTGAAGCCTCCTGTGCCTCACTCCCTGCTGCTTATTAGATAAAACCAACACCCTATAACCCTAAAGGCAGCAATTTTACAGAGCTGTGGCGGGATTGTGTGGGTCATAATAACCAGGTAAAACATCAGTTCAGGCACACGACATTGAAAGACAGATGAAGAGAAAAGACTTCTTACCTTCACCCAGTGTCTGCTTCAGTAAGTCATGCTTGGCCTGCAGCTTAATGATTAGGTTACTGCCGTTCAGGTACTCCTTGAATTTCTAGACAGAGAGATGGAGGCAACAATGAGTGAGCAGCACTAATCCAGTGTAACATGAGCCCAGTCAAACAATTCAGCGTAGCTCAAATCAGCATAAATTTGATCTGTTCTAGTTTTAATTTAATTTCTATTTCCAGAAATGATGACTGATGGCTTGCTTTTGAGAAGCAGCGCAAAGCTACAGTTCATAGCAGGGCGGCAGCCATTAACAGTTTGGGCCGATACATGGATCAAAATTGACATGAACTCACTGAAAAGTAGAACATTTCAGTCTCCTGTTGGTTTGCCCTCCTCTTAGCTACATTCAGCTTGCTCATGTAGGACTCAGAGGCCACAGACTTAATGGATTCAGTGGAGCGGCTGTGTTGGAAGGCATCCGACACGTCAAAGTCCTCTACCGTCAGCATGTCCTGCAGCGTTTGCATCGTGGCATCCAAGGTCTTTCTCACCTGCACAGATGGGGGAATATAGAAAGGAAAGAAGATGACAAATTAAGCACTATATCTTACTCAGTCTTAGCCATATTTTAGCCCCAAACCTTGATGGAACTGAAGTAACTAATGGGCAGGAGTGAGTGATTTACAGCACTATTTATATCCAAGACAAATTGACCCCTGAACAATATATGACCTTGAATTGCACTGAAATGACACCAAGCAACATCAGAATGTCAGTCCAGAGCAACCTGCAGGTAAAATTACTGAAGGGAGCTTTTTGTTTAGGGCTGAGATTGATCAAGCTCATTTCCAGTAATGGCATGGCTCGTCCATTATCCTGCAGAGCACAAGACACGGGGAAACAGGGAAGAGGCAGAGCCATTGGCAGTCTAACAGGCCCTAGTTATTATCACCTCCATTTGCACCTTTGTGTTTGCAGCTCTTAATGAGAAGGTCCTTTCCTCGTCACACAATGGAAAATTTCATATATAACTTCATAGAAAACACAACATTGGCACTGTGACAATCTAAATATATTCCCGGCTCCCACAGAGCAAGGGTCATTGGAGGGTAATTGCAATGAAAACAGATGGTGATGCGGCCCTCCTACTTGGCTCAGGGGAACATGAGACAGAGCTTTCTGTTTTTAGGGGGTGGGGCTGAAGGTAATGGCTGGACACAGAGCCATGACAAATCCTCACCTCCTCATTCTCAATCTTTAGTGTAGCTAAGCGAGACTGCAGTTGGTGGTAGCGCATCAAGAGTTCAGTCTGGACAGGCTGCTGGGCGCTCACCTGGCACACCTGGAGGAGGACATATGGATTAAAAAAAACAAAACAGATCCATCTGAAGCTTAAATAGTTACTTTGTGAAAAATACATCCATCAGAGATCACAAATCTTGCATGAAAGCTGCAACATTAAAAGCATCTAACCTCATCTCCCATGTGCGGTAGGTACTCAAAGCGCATTGGAGGGCAGAACACCTGGTTATGCATATCCATGATCTTGTGCTTGTCACTGCGGGAGTCCAGGTTGTCCACTGCATTCTCTATGATATCCAGTCCCTCGTGGCGAGATGTCTCCAAGTTGTACTCGGCAGATAAGTAAGTCCTGAAAGTGCGTGCCAAGCTAGCATGGTAGCCCAGGTCACAGCACTGTGGAGATAAAATATCTGATAAATAACCAGGAAAATACTTGTGGTAGTAGATGTGAGGGCATATTTGAAATCAGGAAAAATAAGGGAAAAAATATGTATTATATAATGTATATGTAATGTATTCTTAAAAAGTTAGTTAGTTAACACCTCTGACCACACGCAGCGCAATTGATGGTGGCACCTATAACCACACCCAACAGTGAAGTCATGGTGTACTGACCACACCCTGGAGAACGCTTTCACATCACTGCAGCAACAGGGTAAGTTACACCACTGAAAACTAGCAAAAACCAGCAAAAGATGTTCTGTGGCTCTTTAATGTGATGAATTAATATAAATTTATCAGCGAATGTGGAGGAACGTGAAAGTGCAAATTTCTATGGTAAAGTCTGTTAGTTGAGCACCTTACAGTGATGTTCAGACCACTTTAATGGACTAAATCCCAAATTACTTTCTGCTACAGGTTACTTTTCAAAAATAGAAGTAGAGTTCACAGAATTACAGGAGCTAGCACAGGAGGACAGCAGGGATAATTACAGAGCCTTATCGCACAGAGCTGTATGAAGTAACCTAATTAAGCAGAGGATGGTAGTGAGGAGGTTTAGAGGGAGCTTGAGGCAACTGACAGCTCTGTGAATCACTAAGTAAACGCTCTTTAGCACTGAGGAAGTAGTGTCTCTACTTTGGTGCACAAGCCTCATTGCACCACTCAGTCAAAGTGGTTCAGCAGACTAAAGACTAAAGAGAGAAAATTAACCTCTTTTCAAACAAGTGAGAATCTCGTTCATTTGCAGGATCTGGAGGAGCAGATAAACGGAGGAAAGGAATATTAGATACACTCTGTAATACAAATACTGTTTTTTTATATTCTCATCCTTCTCATTATAGTGGTGCAAACATACTGAATAAACTCAACATGTTCTTCAGAAATACACTTACACAAAGCTAACCTCTTGCTGCGTAAACGTCTGGTTTGATGTGTGGTGTGCAGTTACTCTGATAGACACACAAACCCCTTTTTCTCCTCTGCCCCATTTGGGGCAGCCAAACCAGTCATGCTCACAATCCCATTCCCTGCAGCTCAGCAGAATTTGGAACGACAGAGACCTGTCAGTTTCAAGACACTGGATCCATCAAAGCTGCCCAGCAAAGAGGCAGGGATAGCCATGAATCAGGCTCTCAGTATGTCTAGCTACCATTAACATATCAATGCATATAGCAGAGACATACTGTATGTACGATTTCAACTGCAATTGTTTAAAATTGCAAGTGATGTTCATTATATTATAGAAATCTCACTGAAATAATATCTTAGCATGCCTGACCTGGAAATGTGTATCTATCCGTGTGGCTAATGTAGTGGAGTATGGTGGGCTGGCCTCAAGCAAAAATGTGACAACCAGGCCATTAGCACACAGGCATAATAAAGGGCTGACGTTGCCTATGGAAATCTGACTTTAATATTTATGTTTTTGGTTTGAAATCAACAACCACAAAACTCACATTCAGAGCCATTTGTCACATAAACTCTGTGACACAGCATGCCTTAGCAACAAAGTATTACTTTACATTTTTTTACTTATCAACAGTCACAAAAACAAAACAATTGAATACAGTATGCACCACTGTAAAACCCAAGAAAAAAAGACAACACAAATAAATTTGACTGTAAATTTTAATTTTTGAAATTTGAATAATAGATGTTGCTTGTATAGTATATGTTGTTTGTTATCTGGAGTTTTGTAACAAAAATAATTTCCCCCTGGGATTATTAAGTATTTCTGATTCTGATTCTGATTTACATGAATAATGTCACTTTGAAACAACCTCCAGTGGGACCTGTGCTCACAGCCCAGCACCGTGCAGTGGGATTGGCATTCACCAGGGAACACTAGACTGATGGTCTGGGGAGGCATATCCTTGGAGGGTCGCATAGACCTCCACGTGCTAACCAATGGTACTCAGACTGCTCCTATGTACAGGCATGAAATCCTCAGAGTCATTGTCAGACCTTACGCTGGTGCAGTGGGCCCTGGGTTCCTCCTGGTGTAGGACAATGCCAGGCCTCATGTAGCCAGAGTGTGTAGGCAGATCCTGAATGACGAAGGCATTGATGCCATGGACCTCACGTTCCCCAGACCTGAATCCAGTTAAGAAACCTCTGGGATGTTGTGTATCGGTACATCCCACGCCGCCAAGTAGCGCCACAGACTGTCCAGGAGCACATTAATGATCCAGGTCTAGGAGGATGAGAATGTTTCATAGAGAACATCTTCGGGGTAAACTAGAGGATCCTGACGGTCTCTGAACACCTTCGCCCTCCGCATCTTCTTCTAAATGTGCCGCCATTTTTCTCCACAGATTGTGGGCGGAGCCAAGCAGTATAAATCATGACAACATAAAGCGTCTTGTACATTCGCCGTTCCCGACCTGTCGTGCAACAATGTGACATCACGGGAGTGCCGTAACTATTTA